CCCCCCCTCCCCGCGCCGGGCTCCCAGCCGCCCGGGGCTTCCCGGTGGCTCCGCACGTGGGGCACGACCAGGCCGGGCCTGGAGATCCTGGAGCTGCGCCCGCCCGCCGCTTGCCCCGCCCGCCCAACCCCACCCCCCATGTCCTTCCACCTAAACCGGACAGGCCTCTCAGGCGGCGGGGCCCCTTGTCCAACATGTAAGGCAAGATGGCCCTCGGCCCCCCAGGAAGGAGCCCTGTCAGGCTGGAGAAGAGGAGTGGGGGGGGGAGAGGGCAGCAGGTCCTGCTCCCGCCTGGCAGTGCCATGTGAGCCCCCTGCCCCCCACATCGCAGGTCCCCCCATTCCGCCCCCCAGCAAGGCAGCGGCCTTGCGCCCGCTGCCCCCACCTCACGCGCAGCCTGGGCTGCCCCTGCAGCTCAGAGGGGAATGGGGGGGGGGGGCGCACGAGGCCGATGGGTGGCTGGCGCACCCGCCTGCAGAGGACTGCCTGCGCAAGAACCAGGGCCGGGCCAGAGTCTTCCACATACGCTTTATTCCAAAAACACCCATTCCTCGGTCTGGGGAGAGCATGCCTTGGGGGGGGGGCAGGGAATGCGCCCCCCACGCATCCCCCGCAGTTCCACACACAGCAGCTTGTGGGCAAGGGGGGGCTGCTGTCCAGCTGGTGATTGTAGAGTGCTCCCCCCTCCTGCCCAGGGGGCCCTCCCTCCCGCAGAACCAGGAGCCCCGCCGCTGCCGCCAGCCCGGAGGACCCGGCGCACGCCGCCGGGGAGACTCGTGTGGGGGGGGGGGGCGGGAAGAGCCGTGTTGCTGGTGCGAAGACTGGGGGCGGGTCGGGGCACAGAAGGCTGAACAGACGGCGAGCGAAGGCGGACGGGGGAGACTTGACGCCTCCCCCCACACACAGCCGAGCGCCCGGGCACACGGCAGCGAGCGTCTTTGCCAGCCGACCGAGGCTGGGGCAGAAGGGCCCCCGCCCCCACCAAGACAAGTGCTCCTCTCCCCGTTGCGGGGGGGGGCCCAGGAGTTGCACCGTACAGTTTAAAAGTCCCAGCAGCACAGGATGGCGGGGGTCTCTGGCGTGGGACAACAGCCCCTGGGCTTGGGCGCCCAGGGCGCCTTGTGCCCAGGGAAGGACCTCAGCGGGGGGGCAGTGGCAGTGTGGGGGGGCAGCCGGGATCCTGACCCATTATGCAAGGCCCATCTCCTCCAGCACACTCCGGGGTGACTCGTCCTCCTGCAGCAGGGAGAGAGAGGAGAGGCCGCTCAGCCCGCCCCGCCACTGGCCGGGGCTCACACGCCTGCCCCCCCCAAACACGCGTGCACGGACGGGGCAGCCGGGGCAGCTCAGGGGGCGGGGCCCTCCCTCCCGAGGGGCAGCCGAGGGGGGCAGCCCGCCCTGCGTGGCAGCTCCGTTCCAGCTGTCTGCAAACTGCCCAGCGCAGCACCCAGAACGCTTCAGCGGCGGGAGGCATGCCTGAGACACGGCTCAGTCCCAGCGGGGGGCCCCACAGGGGCCGCCACTGTGGCTCAAGGGGGACCGTGGGGACGGGGCTGATCCTGCGGCAGCTGCGCCCCCTCCCCTCCCCTCCCCACCACCCCCACGGCAGCCAGCGATGCCAGCAGTCGCCCACACCCTCTGCAGCGCAGAGAGCGCACCAGCCTCCCCGCAGAGCCTGTGACTCATGGATGCAGCGGCCGGCAGGCTCAGCAAGGGGGGCGGGCTTCCAAGCCTCCCCCCTCCCCCACACAGCAGCCAGGAGCTCCGCGGGGGGGCCGGCCGCGAGGACGGGGCGCAGGGGCCGAGGCGGGTCCCGCCCGGGGGAGCGTGCGACGCCTCCACGGAGGCCCCCACCTCTACCTCCTGCAAGAGGTCTGCCTGCTCGATGGCCTTCAGCACGCTCTTCTTGGAGGTGTCCTGCACCTCCCCGCCCATCAGGAACTCGTCCAGGATGAAGTAGGCCTTCTCGAAGTTGAAGATGATGTCCAGCTCACACACCTGCGGGGGCGAGAAGGCAGGGCCGTGCTCACGTGCTCCCCGGGGACGAGCGGGGGCCAGCTGGCCTCAGCCCCGCTCGCCTGCAGCCGGCTCCAGCGGGCTCTCGCCCCGGAGCTGCAGAGGCAGAGGCCGGGCGGCGGGAGGTCCCCGCCTGGCGCCAGCGGAGCAGTTGGGGCAGCTGCCAACCCTCCCGGGTGCATGTTGCACGGCTCCACTGCACGGCTGGGCAGGGCTGGGGGGCTGGGAGCTGAGCCCCGGGACTGCGGCACAGCGGAGAGACTGAGGGGGCAGGGCTGGCGCAACAGGGAACAGCACCGGCTTCAGCCCCCCAGGGACGGGGCCACGGGGGGTGCCGGCTCAGGAGCAGAAAGCAGGCCGCCGGCAGGGCCAAGCACCGACCCGGCGCTCGGGCCCTGCCGCCCCTGGGAGGGCAGGTGGTGCAGGGCGCGGGGGCTGAGTCCCGCCCCGTCCTCGCAGGTGCCCCACGACCCGATGCCACACGGAGACGCTGCCCCCGGCCTCCCAGGGAGCCCGGGATCGGGGCCACTGCAGCACCGCAGGGAGACGATCGGGACAGCGTGCCTCCACGGCCCACGCGGTGCCCCGGCACGGAGGATCAGCCTCGGGGCGAAGGGGGAACGCAGGACCAGCCCCCCCCACCCAGAGACACGCCTGGGGGCTGCAACCCCCGCCGGCCCACTCACACTGCCAAAATATTTGTCGAGCAGTTCCACATATCGGTGGATAAGCTCCAGGGTGATGAGCTCGTTGTCTTGTCCCTCGATGGCGCAGCAGAAGTACAAACTGGCATACCTGGGCGGGAGAAGGAGCAGGTGCGTCCGGCCCCGGCCTGCCCGTGGGGCACACCCCGCCTCCGGGGCCAACCCCACCCTCTGCCCCGCCAGGCAGGGCCGCGAAGCGCCTGCCGCCTCCCCACTGTTCTCCGCAGCTGCAGAACGACACCCCGGCTGAGAAGTCACAAGACAAAGCCCCGGGAACACACGGAGCGGGGGGGGGGGGAGACCAGTGTGTCCCCCACGGCGGACGTAGCAGGGCGGGAGCAAGCCGGGGCGGCCAGGCCAACCTGACCTGCACGCGGGACGTGGGGCCGAGGCAGGGGCCCAACCGCCCTGGCTGGAGGACGCTGGGCCACCGTGAGCCCCACTTGGAGCAACCGGCACGGAAGCCGAGCCGAGGGCGCCCCCCGCAGCCCATCGCGCCTCAGCACGCGCCACGGCAGCGCCCCCCACCCTCGCGGGAGCAAGGGCTTGTCTGGAACCCGGGGCACCCTTGCCAACTGGCCGGCGCGGCTGGTGCGGCCAGGCCCAGCAGCACGTCCCAGAAGGCACCGCGGGGAGGCTAACGGGAAAAGGACAGGCCTACACCCTGAGGAGCAGGCAGGGCTGTGGCCCAGAGGCGGCCCTCGCCCGTCCGGACCCGCAGCTCCCCGTTCCGACTCATCCCAGCAGCCCGTGAGAACAAGGCAGGTGGGACGAGCCCCGAAACCGAGCCACACCTTTGCCTCCACGGGTGCAACAAAGTATGTGCTTCCTTGAGCAGAAATCGTGACACCCGGAGAAACACACCGGTAAAACATCCACACCAAAGCAGCAGGCAAAGGACACACAATACCTGCATACACACAAACCCAGACCAAACAGACGCTGCAGCCACAAGAAAAGAAAACGCATACCCCCCTTTTCCCACAAGTACACGCAGCCCTGCGACAAACTAGACTCGGACGAAACGTAAAACACACAGGTAAGCACCTGACCCCAACAAAAGCACGCGCAGCACAGACAAGAACACAGCCAGCCACACGATCAATTTCCTGCTAATACGCGAGCCAGCTCTCCCCACTCAGTTTTTTCTTTAATTAAAAGCTCTCCGAATTTTCCTGCAATAACTAAGAGGGAACAACCACCCAAACAGCCATGGCCAAGGAGAAAGGGCCCAGCACAACCTTTCAAGGGTAGACAACACACACAGAGGCAAATGTCACTTGTGTTGTCGTCATGGATTTAAATCCCAACTTCTTCATCTTGTAAGGAAGCTACGGCGGCTTACATGGCTCCACTTCTCCCTCACCACAACCCTGCAAGGTAGGATAGGCTGAGAGGGAATGCCCGGCTCAGGGGGATTTCTGGACAAATGGGGCTCTCACAGCACCCCACGCCACCAAACTGCACTTGCCCCTAAAACAGCTTTGAGGGCAGTGATGGCGAGACCTTTAGAGACCGAGTGCCCAAACAGCAACCCAAAACCCACTTATATATCGCAAAGTGCCAACATTGCAGCAAACCTGAAAACAGCCAGTCCAAGTAAATGTATCGCAGTGAAAACACACTGACCGGCCATGAGAAAGGGCGGACCAGTCGCAGCGAATGAGTCGTGACTCGTGACACCTTCACCGGCACCCTGACTCCGATCCGAGCATGTGCAGGGCCCCCATGTGCGCTGCTATCCGATGCTCATCCGTTGGAACATGCTAGGATGGCATGTGCGCAGCAAGGGTTCTGGAGGCCCGCGATGTGCCACAGTCCACCAAACCCAACCCGAAGGCCAGGACGCCTCGTTTTCTGAACCCTAACCCCACCCTGGTGCACACCCCTAACCCTAATACAGGGCTACAATTCCACTGAAGGGGTAAATTTTGAAAACGCCCTCCTTGAGTGGCTTTTTCTGCACTGCTCAACATTTTTGCCCATTCTGAACACATCCGAACCATCAAAGCCATGCCAGGACGCCGCGTTTTCCTAACCCTAACCCTACCCTGGTGCACACCCCTAACCCTAATACAGGGCTACAGTTCCACCGAAGGGGGCGATTTTGAAAACGCCTTCCTTGAGTGGGTTTTTCTGCACTGCTCAACATTTTTGCCCATTCTGAACACATTCCAACCATCAAAGTCATGCCAGGACGCCTCGTCTTCCTAACCCTAACCCTGGTGCACACCCCTAACCCTAATACAGGGCTACAGTTCCACCG